CAGCAGTCAGCTCCCACAGTACGTGTCGTTAACGAAGAAAACCACGCTCCAGGAAAGTAAACATACACTGAGTTCATGGACTTTAGTTATTTTTGGGGGAAATTGGACCATTTTAGTGGCACACAAACGGTGTGGTCACTGTGTTTTTGGCCACGCACGCAGGAAGTGAGCATGTAAACAAACTATGATATGATATATGATATGTAGATACGCGTAAAGCTTTGACTACATTCGACTTTTTGAAGGGTCCAACATCATGCAGTGTTCCAGTAATCAATTCTGACTGCGACTTTGGTTTGTTTGGCTTACGTTTTGCTTTTCGTCCGAGCTTCGAGGTGCTTAAGCCCAGCCCGAAGGGTACCCAGGATGGCTTGGAAAATGGTTGGAGGTTTCGACCTGAATGGCTTTCTTAGGCTGACTGCAATCGTTCCAAGGCAAGTGCACCGTGTGGCAAAAAATCGGTTTGTGTGTAGGGTGGAGCCTTGTGGCAATGTGGTCCAGCCGATTTTGCCACGAGCCTTGTGGGGAACCTATTGCAAAAAAGGTAAAATGGAGCACAGAAATTCGTGAGCAAAGTGGAAATCGGACCGTGGCCACTGATCCAATGCCGCAGACAAGGTATCCCACTCTGACGTGAGTTTTTGAATGAGCCGTACAGTCGAAGTGGTCTCACTGTGGATGGACGATTCCCTTGTTTTCTACCAACAATGGTTTCAACCACCAACTAACATGGGTTTGTGCAAACAGGCCCTTTGAAAGAGGAGAGTAGTCTTTCTAGAGGGGTCTGTGCACTTCCATGTTAGCTGGTGGGAGGGTAGTCAAAGCGGTCTCCCTTACTCCGAGTGGGACTTGTACAGGCCTGATGTCGAGGGCGGCTGTGGGAGAATGCAGTGGGATGTCCTTGCGCTATGCAGATGCATTGCCCTCGGTATTCAGGCGGCGGGTTCATACCTAGGTTCCCCAGTAGCGCCCTTTTACCCTTTTTTGGGGGAGGGTTCCCCTACTAAAATAGACTACAAAACAAGGGTACCCTTATTTAACCTCTCTACTGGAGGCCCTAGATGCGCGTTTGAAGTGATTTACGTGTACAGGTAAGGCAGCACAACATGCACCCGCATAAACATTCCCATGGAACAGAACAACAACAGCACGGGCATGAATGAGCAGATGAATGGACATATTGAGCGTATGACAAGCAATGTTTTGAGCATTGTTCGAGCACATTATGAAGACATTGGATGAGCGCAACAGCTTCCAGGAAACATGGAACGTGCAGTTATTGCCTTAGTGATTCGTTCAACCTGCTCAAATGTACAGGCCACCCGATGTTCTTGGTGCACTTTGCGGCTGATATTCGAATTGAAGTTCCCTGTTTTGAGCCCTTGTGTTGTTGAGCGGCATTTTGGTAGCTTCGGTGTAGTCAGCAAAGATCCAAACTGTCTCTGAATTCCATCCCTGGGTGCGTCTTTTTGGGAGTTGGTACCCTTTTTCGGGTGGTTTTAGAGGAACTCCGAATGTCATTTGATGTTTGTCTGTGTGTTTCCAGGAACCCAAGGGCTTACCTACGTAGGATTCGTAAACAGCTGGTTGATTCAAGGAAGTTGCCCGTATTTGGAAGAAGAAGACCGAGGCCATTTTGGGGGTCCCCTAAAACGATACACTCCCCCAAACATGGAAGCTCCCAGGACCCCCTGTAAAAAACTTGGTTCCATTTACAAAGGCCCTCTAGGAGCTTCCATGTTGAGGGAGTGTGCATTAATTTACAAAGGCCCTCGAGGAGCTTCCATGTTGAGGGAGTGTGCATTAATTTACAAAGGCCCTCGAGGAGCTTCCATGTTGAGGGAGTGTACATTAATTTACAAAGGCCCTCTAGGAGCTCCACGTTAACCAGGTGAACAAAATTACAAACACCCCTGGGTCGCCGCTGGATTTTCGGAGGGCCTCTTTTAACTGCGCGCGCCAGACTTTCTGGGCGCGGCCTACCTCCGACTGCGAGGGCGGGCGGAGAGGGCAACCTGCGAGTCTCCCTCTCCGATTATGGGTATGGGTGTGTTTTGTTCTAGGGGACCCCCAAATTTGGTGGTGTTCCTTTTGGTTTCCCTTTAAAGCAACAAAAAAGGGGTACCATCAAAAATGGGCACCGCCATATGAATATGTGCAGCGTGTTTGTCTCTTTGTTTGCTTGGCCGTTTGCTTGTTTTGTTTTTTGCTGGACCATCTTGGGAAATCAACAAAGCAACCAACTGGAAATTAGCAATTTTACTGGATCAGCTCAGTTCCGTTTCGGACCTTAGTCACTTTTTGGGAATTTGGACCGTTTTAGTGGTAGACAAAGGTTTGGTGGCTTTTTTTGGCCAGTCCACTCGGGAAGGTGAGATGTGGATTCGGGCCTCTGAATTTGTCGTTGTAAAGCCTAGCTTAATAAGGGCACCCTCTAAAACACACACAATTTCTCCCTTAGGATTGCTTTGATATCCAAGCTATCTACCGGACTGTGGACATGAATCAGCCACGCGTTTCAAGAAAGGGCTCCAGTCACTCACCAAGTGACTGCCAGGAGCAAACTGCAAATGAGCACCTTTTTCTTTTTTTTGGAGTTGGTGCAAATGTGTTTGGGGTTGGGGTTTGCATCCGGAAAACCGAAGAAAACCACTTTGGGGGGTCAAATTGTCTAAGACGACAGGAGCCACCCAAAGGAAAGAAAGGTCGTCTTGAGGGTGTCTCCGTTTTGTGGGTGTTGAAAGGGCATGATGGACGTTTTGGTTTTTTGTTGCCCTCTACATATCAGGGCCTCCAAAAGAATGAGGAAGGGTGAACTGAAACTGAGCTGCACATTCCTCTTGAGATGTTGATCCGACCCAAAACCCACGACACCCACCAGTGCAAGATGTTTAGGCTCTCTTCCCTGCTGAGCACTGTAGGTGACCCTAGCCCCAAGAATTTCAACGAAGAGACAAGGTCTTGGTGGTAAAGCTGCTGGATGGACATGAGCAAGTGAGTTATCTACTTTCAAGGTGGCGGGTCCTTGTTGTTTTGACCACTTCGCCTGTGCAGCATGTGCCGAAAATTTGGCACACAAGATCAGTCCGAGGAGAGTATTCACCTTGTTCAGACAAACCTAAACAGTTCCTGCTGTAAAAGCCAGACGTTTGCTACTGACATCAAGTTGTGGTCAATGACGACACCCTTCTACTTGGGTCGTTTCTGCCTGGCGATTTCTCAGAGATTCGTTTGGTATGTTGTATTGCGCGTCCGATTGAATTGTCATGTATTCACTGCCCCCAAGCTGTTTCTTAGTACTCATGTGTACAGATGATGCATGAAGGAGATTTCTTGGTATGGGCATATGGGGAGGTGAGCATGCCGCATCCAGTTTCTATCGCCTATGGCCTGTGATTGGAAGAAGACAACAGTTGGGAAGGTACTAATTCCTTGCTCGTGCATGCTTGTGGTGATGCTTGTTACGACTCTTTGTTTCCATGGGGACCGGTGCGACAAAACGTGCGCGTGCTAAGACTGCGCACACTGTTTCTGCAGGTATTTCTTTCAATTGGATTGCTGCTTTGAGCGTTTAGTCTTAATTAAGCGAATTAAGTTAGTCCCTCGTTTTTAAATTGCTTGTTTTGCCCGCAACAAAGTTTGTCGTCTCTCGACCCTCAAAACTACCTATTAAAGTGATGGCCAAATTTGTCATTCTAAGGATTAGTCAGGTGTGTAACTATGTGTGTGCGTTTCAAGGATATTCAAACTTTGTTTATGTTTCGCTTATGCATGGCGAAGATGCGTAAAGGGAACCAGCTTGAGTGGAGGACTCTTGCAGGCATTGTGAGTTAGGATTCGGCTGGGTGGATTTGATGCTCGATGTGCGGTGGTCATCACTTCCTAGGGGTTGATTCCCCATTCTTTTCCGGCGGCTTTCCCTGGGGAGGTTTTCTAGAAAGATTGGGATCCCTATGTTCAGAATGCAAATGGAAGGTGCCCCCAGAGTTCCTAGACTCTCGTTTTGGGAAGCCCATGATGGTGACAAACACACAGCTTGAGCTGCTTTTGGCCAATCCACTCAGGAAGTGAGATTCACGCTTCATACCCATTTGGGCGTGTCCTTTGTTTTCAGGGACCTCAACAAATGGTGGTGTTCCTTTCGGTTTCCCTTTAAAAAAAACACCCAACAAACTCCAAAACCGACACTCCCATATTTTATTGTTTCTGTTTGAGGGGTTGGATGTGAACTGTTCCTTATTGGCCAATCCACTCAAGCGAGTTGACGAAGTTGGGAGGCTGCCCTTCAACGCAACGCAAAAAGACGTCTCGGATTTCTTCGCGGAGTTCGGAGCGTGGGGCCCAAATCTCCCGGTTCCGCTGGTTGGGCCCAAGGATTCACACGCTGCCCGGTTTTCTTTTGTGTTTTTTTTTGGGGGGGATGGGGGCATGGGCCTCGTTAAAGTCAACTACCCAAAAAAGCGGTTGGAAACCGGCTGCCCTTTTTTTCTTTTGTGTTTCTGGGGGGGGTTTGGGGGGGGGCTCATTGGAATTAAGTACCTCAAAGGGACCAGACCCAGACGATGGATGTGTCTAGACTCGAGACCCGAAAGTGGAAGTCCGCATCAGAGGCTATGATCAATTGGAGCAACTTGGATTGAGTCGCACTTGCAGGGTCGCTGCAAGATCACCGCGATCAACATGGGAGGCGATCAAAACGTTCTTTACATGGTATGACCATTGGAGAAAACCACTCAACAGATGCTATTTCCCACTTTTCATGGGGGGAAGTTACCTATGGTCAAAACTGGAGGCCGAAGGGAGTATTGATCAACCTCCGGATGCGATTGCAAACATATGGGGACCCGGCAATTGGAGATTGCGGCCACTAGCTCCTGGCAGTCCTTGTTCGGTGAAGTTAGTAAGTGGTTAGGAACCTGGCTTATATCCTACTCTAGGTCTTTCAGTAGTGCCCTTCTCTCCCCTTTTTTGGTTGGGAGGGTTCCCCTACTAAAATAGACTACGGGAAAAAAAAAAGGTACCCTTATTCGAACCTCTCTACTAGAGGACCTAGCACATTTTTTTGCCCCCCAAGTGCAGTTAGCAACTGGTAGGTTAAAACTCAGGAGGCCAACCACTCACTAACTTGGCCGAACACCCAAGTATTGGCCAGCGTCTTGTCCCGCGAGATGCGCTTCTTTGATTTGCCCTCCCACGAATTAGCATTAGAACCTGACAGGGGGTCCCTTTACAAAGAACATGGAGTTCGCTCTGCGGAAGTTTTTTTCCACCAGTCTGCGCCTTTTTTTACTATAACTTGTTGGTTGAAACAGGTGGACCCACAAGAAGCGAAACACTTCTTGCAGAGGGGTTAACAGCAGCCAAGTTCAATTTCTCTATACAAGGCGCACTCAGACAAAGGCAACATGACGTCCTATTGGCGTTTCCGAAATTCAAGAGTTTACCAACTAGGCAATACCAATGAATCAGGGAAGCCAATGGATACAGAGGTAACCAGGGATACGGGAGGATTCCCCCGTTTGATGCACCGGACTAAGTTTGATATGGGAAATGGCGCCAAGTTGGAATCGATTCTCCCATATCGGGACCCGCTCCCTCCGTATCCCCGCTTCGTTTGTCCAAAATGGGAAGCCACGCCTTCACACCACCACCCAGAGAGAAGTTGAAATGAGTCAAGTGCATGAATCAGCCCATGTTTGCTGGCGAGTTGCCGGTTGAAAGGAGAGAAAAAGTTCTGCCGACGCCCGGCTTTCCCGTTGGCCGAGGGCTCACTCTGCGTGTCAACGGCGTATACGATGTAAGCCATGCTTGTCTTGATTCGGTGGGTCAGTTCTTTTTGTCTCTACAGTTTTCCATTGCCCCCAACTTCCTCTCGTGGTTGCTACGGTGAGGAAGGGGGTATAAAGCAGGACTAAGAACACATGGGCAGTTGTTTGAATAATTCGGGGCCTGTTTTGGAACGCGGGCGTCGACTGTGTGCCGCCTTGTTTTTTGGGGTGTTCAAGAAATAATCCGTCATTTTAACGACAGCTGAGTCCTCAAAGGTTTGAGTACCCATTTGCAGTTGGTTTCTTGAGAAGCTAAATGGACAGAAAGGAATTTGGCGATCCCCGATTTTGACTCATACCCCTGCATGGTATATTTCTAATGTGCGTCAGCAGACCTCTCTATGCCAGTAGATGTCCAACTAGCGGGTGGCGTCCTACCTTTGAGCAGCGCCAATTTAGTCGGGAGTTCTGCTGCCTGCTTTGCCGGGGATCATTGTAAGGCGTGCAAAACTTATCTGGCCAGATTCGGGTTGGAACCAAGCGTCGCTGCGTATTTGAGTTCTGTTCAACCCCCGCCTTGGACACCTTAGTACGACACCTAGTACAGGGACGGTTCCTCATGCGGGTCGGTTTTTGCCACCACCTTGTGTGTGTGTATGCTTGGGAATCTTCCATGCTGAGGGGGTTTCAACGGCCTCATGTGGCTATGCATTTTGATGGCAACATTTTCCAAGCTGGTTGGTGGACACCATTCCATGTTGAATTCCTTGAATATCCACCACAGGTTGACCAAAAGGTCCCCAACTTGAGCACTCATTTGGGTGTTTCTCAAGATAGGATCCCTAAACGGTTGCTTGAGAAGCTCCCATTTGGGTATGGGTCAAACTTAAACCACCAGGAATTCGACCGGGTTTTGTCCACGTTTCCATCTACCCAGGGCAATCCATGTTAACTGGGGTTAGTGCCCTTCTCTCCCCTTTTTTGGTTGGGAGAGTTTTCCCTACTATAATAAACTACAGACCTCTCAAATCTGGAGGACCTTTGTGTCTGAATCGCATCGGATCGATTCGCAGAGGTGATGCCAGAGCAAGTGCTGATGGGAAGTGAAGGCCAGAGCTGCAAGAGCTTCGAGTGCAGTGGCATTGCGAGTTTGTTTCGAAATCCGTGCGCTTGTGTGTATGCTGCGCGCTTGTGTTGTATACTGTTCAGTATTGTTTTGTTTGTTTTGTGTGTTTTGCTTGTGTGTTTGTTTCGTTGTTCTACTAGTTCATCCCGCAAGTTTCTTAGGGTTTCCGCATAGGTTTTCACGATTGCACTTCTTAATTGTTGTTTTTTCTTCTTTTTTCTGCGGTTTTGTGCTTAGCGCTGCTGTCACCTGTGGGACACCTTGTTGCGCTTCATGGCACGCGGCGCGGCGCGTGCCGCCTGAGCTTTCGTCCTAAGAGCTGCCTCCACCCGAGCTTCGGATTTCGGGACGTCAGGCAGATCATCAGCAGAAGCACGCGGATGAGCATGCATACAAAGTACTGGACATATTTGCCGGGATGGCATTTGTGTCCAGAGGCTTCGCAAAATCCTCTCACCGGGCATTCCGACGCCTGGTCGCAGCTTACAACTTTCGAGCTTCGCCATCCAAATGCGGAACCCTGGAACCTGTCACCAGGTAACTTTGCTTTGGACACAGAAGTGTTTTCTTTCACAAGATACGGCCATGAACTTTAACGCCCGGCAAGGGCTGATCGCCATAGCCGAGAGCATGGGGAGCACGACGCGCGATGTTTATACTGCAAGCTTCCGAGAGCAGCGGCTCTAAAAGAGTCTTTTCTAGCGAAGCCTGCGGCCCCGCAAAACGGGCGCACGGAACCTGTTTGATGATTTGAAGAGGCTAAAAGGGGGTGCGTTCTGCAAGTTTAGCTTTTTTCTCTAAAACAGCTTGAAACTTGACTAACTATGATTCTTGTGGGACGACTGACTAGCGCTGTGCCTCTTCCATGTTGATTTAAAGAGAGGCCAACTGGGAAACCATGTTTAGGCATTTACCATATTGTGTGTGTGTGTGTGTGCGTGTGTTTTCTTTGAGGTTACCCTTTGCACTTTGGTTCATTTGGGAAACTCAGAACCCAATTGGCAACTCTGGAAATGAATTCAAGGGCTACATGTGTACATCCAGATGTTCCGAAGACGTGCATGTCCTTAAACCTTAGTCCTTGTCTTGTTGCGCTTAGTTTAAGATTGCAAGTGTCATGGCTGGATATGTATATCTATATTATAGATATATGTTTATGCATATATGCATATGTATTTGTGCATTTGTGTATACATATGCATTTGTGCGTATGTGTTTGTGTAAATCTGTATATGTGAATGTGCACATGTGCATATATGTATATACGTACAAAGGTACATATGTACATAAGTTGGTTTTTCCTCCTAGCCTGACTGGCCTTAGCCCTCTGACCTCTTGGCAAAGGCAAAGCTTTTAAAAGAGCTACCCTCCCACCCTTTTCACATGCAACCTGACGTTCGAGACTTGGTCCCTTTAAAAGGAAAATGGTCCAAGCCAGGACCTCCCGAACGTCAGGTTCCATGTGGAAAGTATGGGACGGTAGTTTGATCCCTTTCAACGAACACCAGATCCTCAAGTACTTGGATTCGATCGGTTTCGGTTCAAATGTGTGGCCCCTCAGACTCTTTTTTTCTTCTCCAGGTGCCGGAAGTCCAGAAGCACCGACGTCAACCGCCCGGACCGTTTGGGTATGCCATCCTTTTGGTTTCTTTACCTTCCAAGGGAATCCTTGCGGTCGGGAATATATCGCGATATGTGTATTGATTCCCCTACACAATCCAAAAAGGGACTCCCCACTTTCAGGCAACTCGCAATTGGGTTTGTCGCAAAACGAGGGGCGCCAGCAAATGGTTGTCGTTTTGATATTCCTTTGGAACCACGGGAGACGACAGACTCGGCCCTTAATTTCAAAGCGACGAGGCGCAACTGGCCGACCCTCCGGGGAGGCGTGGATACAGCTGTTCAATGAGGCTGGATTGGTGATGTGGGCGTGCCGTGTTTTTCAGGGACTCCACCCCCTCCAAAATGGGTGGTTGTCCTGTTATTCTGTGAAAAAAGCAACCGCCCCCCCCCCCCAAAAAAAAAAAACATCCCCCCAAAAGGGGGTACCTGAAAAACATGTCTTTTTGTTGCGGTTTGGTTGGTTTTAAAGGGAAAGCGAAGTTGGTCAGCGATGCCCGTTTTTGTCCAACCGTTTTTTTAGGGGAGTTCCTAGAATTCACCTGGAGAAATATGCTGTGGCTTCTCCCACATCGCATCTTGGGCAGGCCGTAGGCGTGCTGCGGAGAAACGGGCCATGTTCACGTGAGAAGGAAACAAGGCGGCAACGAGGAATCGAGGCGCGGGCGCTGTGCCACCAGTTGGATGGTTTATAAGGGTCATTCCACGCGTTCCCTGCTGAGAACCAACAAGTTAAGTCTACTCTACTCGAATGGTAACTCTGATCTCTTGCGCTATCCACATTGACAGTCCTCGCCTTTCTGACTGCTTCTGTCGAAGGTTTCCTCCATGGCAGCGCAAGCACGGCTGTTTTGGACAATTGACTCTCAATCTGTTTGCCGACCGCATTTGCCGATCTAGCCATGTGGCTGTAAGAAGTAACTGAAGACCGCCTCTCTCAATACTTGTGGAAGTTCACAGGAGCCTTTTCAGAAAGCTTGACAAGCCTAGTACCCGCCATGGCATCTTCTCCACGAAAGGACCTAGTCACTCCACGGCAGGCGATCGCGGCTCAAGCGCGCTCTGCGAAGGATCGGCAGAAGATGGGCCACCGCTACATCGAGGCGCGCTTGTTTCACAAAGCAAGTCGAGGACTGCCGTCTGGGCACCCCGGAAATTGGGGTCGTCGAGAAACTCGGGGAAATGGCGCGACTTTTGGTGTTCTTCTTGGGTTGGTTTCGGAACCATTCGGGGAGACCCAAATGGGGAGGAACCATGTACAGTTTATGGACTTTCCGGATCCTCTCTTCAACACTTTCAAAGCAGCGCTTGCAGCACTCGAGCATCCGTGGGCCAACAAATTAGTTTTGGGCGCAATAGTCCCGTTTGCACAGTGGATTGATAGAATCTCCCACAACCGGATCTTCTCAAAAGAAGAACTGTCCCTCCCCATGGTTCGTGCCTGCTATCCTGTTATGCCAAAATCACCGTCAGTCCGCTACCTGGAGTCATGACTTTTGACAAGGTCAGGACCCAACGTGATACATCGCCCCTCTAAAAGCGGCGTTCTGTAGACTCCGCGTGGTAGCCCTTAAGGCAAGCCATCAGCTCACTCCCTGAGTTCCGTTTCGGACTGTAGTTACTTGTTGGCAGGGGGGTTTTCAACATAGGGGACCCTTTTTGGATGGGTTTCCAGGGAACCAAAGCCAACCAGCTACCTGAAGAGGTTCCAAGTTTGAGAAACACCCATTTTAGTGGTCAACAACAAGTCAGGACTTGTTTCAGGCCAAGCCACTCAGTTTTGTTCAATGTGAGTGTGGCCAAGAGTTTAAACCACCAGGATATGGACCGCAGGTAGTCCATTCCTCCAACCAATCGAGCAACCCATTTTAAAGTTATTTTGTTTGTTTTACCACTAAATCACTACTTGCTGGGGCAACCCATTGCGGGGGTTACTCTCTTCTTTTTTTTATAACACCCAGACCCATGTGGTCTTCTCCGCTCTTTCTTTGCTGCATTTTGCCAAGGGATGTTAGGACTTTAACACTTTTTGCCAACTCAGAGGGGTTTTCCGTGTTAAACCACTAAAAGTTAGTCACAATTTGGGCAGGGCTTCGCAGAAAAGGACCGAGCCTTGCGCGGACCTCGCCCCCTTGTCGGGTCGCTTCGCTTAGGTCTTCCCCTCGACGGCGATGGATGCCGGGAAAGCCACCGCCAGGCCAACGCAGGAGGGCCAGCGAGCCGGCGCTCGGATCGGGCCATCGGATCGGATCCGTGCAAAGATGTGCGACTTGAGAACATCAGATCAACATGTTAAAAACAAAAAGGAAAACAAAACACACACACACACACAAACACAACTTGCAATCTTTGGGCGAATACAGATCGGCAAATCTGAGTACACCCATCCCTTTATATGGTTGTGTATATATTACATTTATATGATGTCTATATGATGGGACATCAATTTTAACAGAGTTGCAGGATCTTCCCTTTTTAAAGGTGCGGCTTTGACGTGACTGGGCCCTTGGAGAACCATTGGCTGATGGGTGTCCAACGATAGCCCCCAAAGAGGTGCCCTAAGAAGAACAATCCGAAAATGATGGTTCCGGAGGAGCGACCTCAAGGTGGTTTGAGACTGGACGGAATTTTCGAATTGCCTCAGTTAACTCCGCGATGGGCGGAGTTCATGGGCCAGTTCCCTTCAGAATGTTCTCTTGTGTCATGGCTTGCTGGGCTCCAAAATTCGGCTTGCGTGAATATCATTGCCCTCGAACATTGCTTGATCTTATATACCAAACATGTCCATGATTTCCCGCAGGCCAGCTCATTGAGTTCCTGGGCAAGCTTTTGGGGTGCCATGTGAGTGGTAAATAAAAGCGAGAACTCTAGATAAACAAACCCCAGTTTATAAATGGGGTGTCCATGGTTTAGCTTGGGTTCATCACCCCCCTAGTAGGATAGGTTTATCATTCCGGGGTCGATGTCTCACTTTCGAGCTCGTGGACTTTGGGCAAGACCGTCTAAGTGGTAAGCACAAAGTTTCGACCTTTTCGGGCTAATGCTAAATTGTATTCACTTGGACTCCACGCGAGGTCAACGGAATGGCATGCGTCTGGTTCCATGGGAGCCGACAAAAGTACGGGGCTGGTGTCAGTTTGGGGATGACACAGGCGCCCCATGCAAAGAGATACTGATGATTAATAGTCATATCATGGCAGGGCTGTAGGAACGAGGGGTTGGTTCTCACTTCTGTTTGGCCGCCCCTTTCAATGGAGAGGGAGTCTATTGGAGAGGGAAATTTGTTTAGCTTGGAAATCCATATGCATTGGCCCAATTTGGATGACAAAAATCCCTCGGTAAGTAATGGTGGTTATATCACCCCCCCCATTGTTTTACTGGTGGCTTGAACCGCAGGGTAGAAGATGATGGCTGAGCTTGGCTTCCATGTGAAGATGACGGAGAGCGCTTCTTTGAAGCGGTTGAGAGTTGGACCACAGAGGGGGGGGGGGGAGCGGGGAGGGTGGGGTCGGCTGTCATTTGCAAAATGTCGCGCCAAAAAAAGACGGCTCTTTTCCATTTGTCCAGGAATTGCTCGCTCGCTGCATTTTTGTGCAACACCTGCGTTTTACCTTGCTTTTGCAAGGCGCTTTCTGCGTCGAGCTGGCTCGTTTTGCGTGCCTTTTTTGCCTTTATTTCTCCGCTTCTCCTTGCTTGCTTACTGCTTGCCTGTTTCGCGCTTGGACCTGCCTCGGGGATGCTGGATATGCTGGATATGCTGGGGGTGCTGGCGGCTCAGCCAGTACGCGGGATGCTGGGGATGCCGGGGATGCTGGGGATGCTGGTGCTTGGCCTTGCTCCTTTGCACTGATTTGAGCTGTTTCCTGGCGTGTCCACGGATCCTTCTTTCGCGTGAGCAATGACTTCAAAAAAAAGGCTAAATGTTAGGCGTCTTTCTTGGATGCTTTTGGCGCTCGGCGTTCACTGGCTATCGCTTTCGGTCTGCGGGCGCTCGCTTCTTCAGTAGGTAACTTTGGAGTCTGTCGCCTTTCAGTATTTTAGTCGTGCTTTCCAGTCGTTACCTACAAACAAGAGGCTATTGAAAGCACTGGGCGAGGCAATCTTTTTTTGGAACACCCTGAAATGCCCGTACACACTGATTGCATCTGTGAAAGCTCTGTTCGTCGCAGAGAGACCCCCAGTCATTGCTTTTTAGGCGGGCTATTTTCAGTCGGGCAGTTTTCAATTGGGCCCATGTCAATTTGTGGGGGAGTTAGCTTGTGGGCATTTGGAGAAAGGCTGCGTCCAATAACTAGCTGTTCCATTCTAACCGGCTGGAGTTGGGACGAGAAAAAAGGGCAGGGCGGTCCGATGATGGTTCCTCGCACACGTCGACCAAAAAAGACGCCTATGTTTTTGCCGTTCTTTTTCCCCTCAATTCAGACTTGCGCCAATGGGGACAGGGAGTGCGCTTTCCGTTGTTTGCCGACCTGGTTTGCAGGGGAGTGATGGGGAGGACCGAGCAGCCTTCCGCGGCGCGGGCGCGGGCGCGGTCGCGGGCGCGGGCGCTTGCGCGGGCGGCGCCTTTGGCGCGGGCGGTGATGACTGGAGCTGGCAGGGGGGGGGGGGGTTATGTGGCGGGGGTACCATGGCTGGGTTTCGGGTTGGACGGATCGCTTTTGTTTGGGAGGTTTCCAGGCACCAGCCAGATTTACTGATTGAGGCTTGCCCAATACCCCCCAAAATGGCATCGGTTTCCCGTTTGGTGTCCCTTTGTTCACTAACCAAAACAGGGTTCCAACCGAGAAAATACACAAGCAAACATAGCGGCTCTTCGAAGCAACCTTCCCATGGCTCACTTCTTATAGCTTCTTGTTCGCTTCAACTGGAGGCATGCAACTGTGGTACCTGGTGGGTTGGACAATTAAATGGTGCAAACGCGCACTTTCCTCCATCTCAGTTTGCTTGTGAGAGAACAAGGCTTCGACACATTCGGGTCGCTCGATTCTTTTCCGAGGGAACCGATCCCGTTTTTAGTGGCCCGAGTTGAAACCCAGTTGAGGCAGGCCCAAATCGTGGCTTACGTCATCATTGTGGTTTGCCTTGCACAACCACCATGAATGAGGTTACCGCCACTTGGTGGTTTGGATCGGTGGTTTGGATTTGGACTTGAAGCCCTGGTACTTCTCCTGGATCAATGGGAAGCCTCCCCTAACCTCTAAACCAACCAATTGCCGGGAGGCTGAAGAAAGGATGTCGTTTTGTAAAATCGAGTGCAAAGTCTGGCAGTCTTCGCCCAGCAAGCGAAACAGGCCGCCTGGGCCGCCGCGACAGGTACTGAGCAAACAGCCTGTTGTAACTTGGTGGCTCCCAACCATCCCCTCAGTTTTGTTTTTCTACTTTTACGGCTTTTACGGTTTAGTGGGGTTTCCTTTTGACCCACTAAATGTTACGTTTCGCATCTGAGGACAGCCTGCGGTAAGTCTGGGACTTTTAGCCTGGAGGTTTGGTGATCACTACTGCGGGCCTTTGTCGTTATCGTTTCGTTTGTTTTGCAGTTTGTGCTTCCTGCCCATGCTCGCACTCGTCAAGGTTAGGGGCCAAAGCTAGCCATTTGGGCGAATTAAAGTATCGCCCATGCGGATCTGTTTCCTTTCAGTTCTGAATTTCAGGTCGGCGAAGTCACCACATTTCAGGTTGACACATTATTGGCGTTATCATTTGTTATCATTTATCCTGTTGCTAGGCACCTCCCAACCGGCAACCCCTGGTTTCCATTGCCGGTTTGCCATGAACTATTCCTAATGGCTGGATGGATGTCACGCATCTTCCCACAGCAAAGAGCTCACTGATCGGCAAGCAGCCCTTGAACTTGAGAAGAGATCTCCTTACTTGAAGGGGCGATAGGGTACTTGGGTGGCTAGTAAGCCTGGTTATAACCCACAAGAGCCATGGTTATAAGTTCCCTAAGTGGGTTATCTCACCAGGCTTACTATCCACCTAAGTACCCTGACCCTACTACTGAGCACCAGCAATGGAAGTAGAGGAACAACAAACACAAGATGACCTACTTCCATTTGGTGAAGACCCCTGGAAAAAAATGACAATATGTCCAGTAGTGATGAGTTCCTTTTAAAACCTACTAAGTGCCACCTACTAAGTACCCGATTGCCCCTTTAAGTGTTGTTCGACCTTGGATCTAACATCCCACTTGCCGAGTCATGGAGCCCTAAGGAGGGGGGGCGAACTGGGGAGAGGCATCCCTTAAGCCTCCATTTGCTGAAATGAATATTTGTTCTATTGTCCCTTGTTGGTTTTAAAAGGCATTTATCACTACTGGAAATATTTTTAGTTTTTCCAGGGGTCTTAACCAAATGGAAGTAAGCCTCGATAGGGCCTTAAGGGTTTATCCTTCGCCTTGGCTCCAGGGATAGCCCCCTATAGCCCGGCACATCCACGAGTTGCTAAGTGGTGAACCCCATGAGGCTTCTATCCATAACCTCATCCGCTCCACGCCCAGATGGCCCGTTTTTTTTTTTTTTTTTTGCTTTCTGGGGGGGGATACCCTTTAAAACCACGGAAAACAGGTACCGAGCCTCCAAAAGAAGACATACCCATATTCCTTTAAACAAATAAATAAATCAAATCCAACCCCCCCCCCCACCCCAAGAAGACAGACCCATATTCCCCCCAAAAACAAAAACGTATTCCCCAAGAAGCCCCCCCCCCCCCGCAGCAGCGCCCGAAAAAAAATCAAATGCGCCAGGTTCATGGGCGCTTGGCCACAATTCTTCGGCAAGGGAGCCGGAGGCTTTGGCCAGGCCGAGACTTTTCGACCGTCGCGTCGGGTGGGTGGGTTGGGTTCTGGGGTGGTTTTTGGTGTGACCCGAAGGGGAAAACTGAGGAGTTCTGACCCAAAGAAGTTTGGAGAAAGTGGTGCTTGGACCCAGCCTCAAACGCTTTAAGGAGTTCATCCAAGGAGTTTGGAACAATCGTTTTGAGGCAGAGGGTGCGTGTCGCTTGTTTTTTGTGTGTTCAGGCATTCCCAAAAGGAGCACCGTTAAGCCATTTTGAGTCCAAGTCCCCCTCCCCCCTACAAAACCAAAAGCAGAAGAAAAAAAGCGTCGGTCTTTTTTCATGGGGTCAAATCAACAGACATAGAGTGCCGTGGGAGGTTTCCGAAAGCCAGCAAATTTGAGTCCATGGCCAATGTGCAAGCAGAATCGTGCTCATTTCGAAGGGGACGTCTAGTATGATTGTCTTCTTATTATCATTCCTATCATTATTATTGCTATCATTGTTATCATTACTCACTTCCTGAGTTCCTGGACAAGACCATTTTTGTAGTAAAAAACAAGCAGTTTGGACTTTGTTTGGCCAATTCTCTCAATCGGGTCTAAAGATTTGTGAACAAATCAGAGCCGCTCAGCCAACCGCGGAGCTTTTTCGTCTTGCTCAGCAGGGAAGCGGGGAATGAATCTGGGGATTTTTTCTTAAGAGGAAGCCATAGCTAGTGCCCTTCTCTCCCCTTTTTTGGGGCGAGGGCTCCCCTACTAAGTTAGACTACAGAAAAAAAAATCGGGTACCATTCTAACCTCCAAATCTGGAGGACCCAGATGAGGGGATGGTTGTTCTCGGGTTTCCATTTCTCACCTATCGCCCCATGTCGGGCTTCCCAAGCGTGTGAGCCAGCCGGAGGTTCGGGAAGCAAAAACGGAGCTTCCCGCCTTCGAGACGTAGGTCAGCAAATGGGTGTCTCAAAATGGGGGTGGTTGCCTCAAAAAGTGTGAGACCAACCCCGAAAGTGGTGCCACCAAAAATTAGTCCAAGAAATCTAGTCTTGCGAACTGAGGGTTGTGCACCATGCAGTGCGCCATTTTGAGACACACCCATCTTTGCATGTTGGAGCTGCATCGCTGCATCTCTTCAAAGGTCAGCGAGTGAACCCTGCCTGTCATCCTGCTGCCATCTGGTTCTCCTGATGGCTTTGTGCCTCGAATGTTGTTCCCAAGCCCTACGATCAGCGTACGGGATGTGACTTTGGGATTGCAACTTGAATTCTTCACAGTTCGGGGCCTCAGCTTGCAAATCCATGAATGGGAGTGTCTTTGTGTGAGGGGACACCCGTTACCCGTTTTGGTGGATTTAACGGGACACCCAGAAGCAGCCACCATTTCGGGGGGTGGTCCCCTAAAAAAGACGCACACACACACTCAAATGGTATCGGTTACGCCATAGGCAGAATGCTCTGCGTTGGTTTTGACTTGAGAGACTGACCGCGAGAGACCGAAGCTGGTTGTGCACGCAACAACCAGGAAGACCAATCAGGAGCGCACACCTTTTCCGGGGTCACCAATACGGACCAGGCTTCAGCAAATGGAAGACTCCCACTAAAATAGTCAGCAATCATCTAGCCCGTTATCACGGTTGGTCCGGGGCGGGGGTATCCGGGAGGAGCAGCCATGTACAAGAGCTGAAGCACACTTAGCGCCTTGCGCGAAATGCGTATGCTAAGCCTTGGGAACGCCCCCGACCCCCGCTTGGACCACCTTGAGAAATTCCCTAAAACCACTTGAGCTGGCTTTGTTTCTTGCTTGGTTTCGGCAGATATCAACCCTGTGAAACTCCTTCTGTTTTTTGTAAGGGGTGTAGATATCCGCGGAACGGTTCTCTCCAAAAGAAATTTGGGAAAATCAGGTTGGTGCAAAGGTGGAAATAAGCGGTTGCGAATTGCTTTGGCAACTCTCCAAGGAAGCGACGGCCAATGAGGCAAACATAAAAAGGTGTAAGATTTGAGGGCGCCACACTGGAAAGCGCGGCGGAGCATGTTTGCAACATGCGCAAGGATTGCCCTGTCAGAAGTGAATAATACAAGCAAAAACATATGCCAGTGTCAGATCACCTGTGGTAGGTGTTGATGTTATCATTGCAATGTTTTGCGTTCGAGGGATCATCATGATCCAACGGAGAAGATTTGACCCATTGGTCTAGGGGTACCTTCCATTTCCATTCTTTCCAGGGATCCGAATCTTTGAAATATCTCAATAAACCCAGGGGAAACGGGCGGTTTTTGAAAAGAAGGATGGTTGAAAAGAATGGGGAATCAAATCCTAGAATTGGGGCATCTTGCTGGGATATCGCTTGGAAGTCCGCCGCGACGCTGGAAGCCTTGACATGAACGCACGTCCAGTCGATCAATGACTAGGTCCCCCAGTAGCGTTTACCAACTTTTTTTGGGGAGGGTTCCCCTACGAAAATAGACCGAATAGACTACAGAAAAAAAGGGTACCCTTATTCTGACCCTTCTACTGGAGGACCTAGATGAGGAGATGCGTAAATTGCCTTCTGTGGCCATGAGTGGGGCCCTGTTTATCCGCGCACGCTTATTGATCCAAGTGTCCATCGAATTCAAGCAAAGGGAGTTATCAGCTGAGGCAATCTATTAGGCAATTTATTCCCGCTTTACCCATTTGCACCGAGTATTGGGCTTTATGAACAAGCCCGGAGCCGTTGTATGCCCTGAGTTGTTGGGATTCCGAATGTGTCCAGGGCTTGGAATAATGTACTGGGCCCCAACCGCCAACCATAGTTGCCATGCGCTTCCTCATCACTGTTTGTCCTTAGAAATTAGCAAGAAATCTTCCCGTGTCAACTTGAGCTTGCCCTGTCCCAGAACCCCTTTGGAGGACCAGAGGTTGCATTCACAATAGCCAATTGGGGAAACTTCCGGCGGTTAGTTTGAGGAAGCTTTATGTGCCAAGTGGTTTTGTTCCCTTGCTTCTCCCCCGATTTCGGGCAGGATCGCTACGCCCCCTACTGAGCTTTGGCCCACTGAGTTGAGCAGCCATACTTGGCTGGGGCGCGAGGCCAATATGCGACTGGGAGGCTCAAATTGGTGAGCTGGGTGCTTTTAGTCTTCAGGCTTGGTAAAATCTGTGACTTGGCAACCCTGGCCCCGTTTGAAACCAAAAAGGAGGTTGTTTAAACCACGGTGCTTCGAGTTGCCCGCAGACCCAGGGGCTCAAGCCTCACCATGGACTGAGGGTTTTCTGAACATGGGCCTTAGATACCTGAGGCAATGTGACAACCGAAGACTGGTTTGCAGCAACAAACCAACAAACCAAGAATGTGTCATCAAGGCCCTTCAATCAGTTCTCTGTGCATGCCCAAACATCCGATTTGTGTTGGCATGCGGGAGGGGTGGGGGGGGGGGTGCTTGCTTCTCGCTTCTTGTGAATCCTTCACTTTATTCAATATACGCTTTACTTTACGCTTCGGGCTCATGGACCAGGCAAAACCAGAACTTTCAGAAGCTCCAAGATGATGAAGATCGAAAATGATGATCCAGCTCCAAGATCAAGTTCTTTTCACTTTCAAAAGATGATCAGAAACACGTTGCGGTGATTGCGGGAAACCGCTGGATCTGAGGACTACCTTAGGCCGCTGTAGGGATCTTGTGAAGGTTGGGTTCAACCTCCAGGCATCGGGGGAGCCTAGCGAGCCTCCTTTTTGTGTACAGGCAATGTTCTATAATATGCATTATGAATAGACATATACATATATAGTGCATTATGAATATATACATATATATATATATATTGATTTATTATTGATTAATATTTATCTAATGCATGTATAATTACACATATTTGGGGCACGTCCCATAGGGCGCAGGGTGAAAGTTTCATCCGCAGTCTGGCACGCTGTATTTCGAGCCTCGCAGATCTCGGGTGCGCTTTATTTCGCGCGAGGGTGTGGTCAAAAGTTGCTCTGGTTGCGAAGGTGTCCAAGGGAGCGTTTTGTTTGCTTCGGAAACCCGCCGGCTATGCGGCCATGAATTTCATCCTTTTTGGTTTTGTTTGGTTTGACGTGGATGGGGTCCACTGGTATAGATGGGTTCAAACAAGCATGTACCAGGATTTTTTCGCATTTTCTTGGGCGGTTGGCCCAAAAGGGCGCAGCTGTTTTCCTCTCGGCGTCCTTTTAACCAAGAATAGATCCCTTGAAGAAGCATACCCTTTTTTGCTGATCCTGTTTCTGGGCTTAAAGTCGGAAGGTGTTTGTTTTCCTTCCAACATTTGCTTCATCCATTGAATAGAACTTCTGGGGTCTAGTCAAAGTCAGAAACTGGGGTTGTTTCCCAATGACCTATCACTTCTGGGCTGACTTTGCGTGGGACCTGCTCAGATTCAAGACCCGTGAGTTGGCAGTTGAAGGGAAACCAAACGCACACCCTTGCCATTGTTTTTTTGGGGCGGGGGGGGGGGAGGTCTATGCGGTCGGGGTATGGGGGGCCGTTTTTTGGGGGGTCCATGGGCTCAGCAAAGGCCTTGAGGGCTTCTGGGCTTCTCCTTGGCATAGACTCCTGGCCCGGCCCAGCCTGACCCAAGACCCAAGGTGCATCATCGAACTTTGAGCCGGGAGAAGCGTGCACTCAGGCTACCCTGTTTGATTAAATATGTCTTTTCAAGGGACCCCCCGCCCCCCCCCAAAAGGAAAATAAAATAAAATAAAATACATTAAGATTATATTTGGTGGTTTTCCTTTGGGCTTCCCTTTAAACCCACCAAACAACGGGGCACCAACTCCAAAGAAGACACGGCCACATGTTCTTGTTATTCGCGTTGTTTGGTATGTCGCAATCGCAGTTGTGCTGGGTCACGTGGTTTTTCACCTAGGACAAGAGTTGTTTCTTGCATAGTGGCGCCAGCATTTCAATCATGCCAACTTCAGACCATCCGAAGGCCCATAGCCAAAAACACCGTTGTTCCCCCTCTTTTCGGAGATGCATCTGATTGATGCGGTCCGTATTGCTCCAAAATCAACATCAGAACCTCTTGCATTAGAAACAGGAAGGTTTCAGAGCCGGACATGTTGCGCAAGGGTATGTCCTGGTTTGTTCCTTGAGATGAGCGAACACATAGGTGGGGCTCCCTCATTGGAGGATGTGTAGAGGAAAACCAAATGGATGAAATTTCTCAGAAGTCTCTGGGTACCTTGTGATCTGGCATCAACGCCAAGTGAGCCACAATCAAAACCTGAATTGATGAAGGTTAGTAAGGGCCAATCCCAACCATAAATAGCGGCGGCCGCCTTCTCAATTCTTTACATGGTTCTGGGTAGACCATTTTGATAACGGGTTTTGATTATGACTCAAGTATCGTGGCGGTCCGAAAGAATATCAAGAATGTCGAAGAAGCTGGACAGGTTTTTTTGATACATCTCGTTGTCGGGTTTCGGTTGTTGGGGTTTAGTGCGGTTTCCGTTTTGCCTGCTTCAAGTTTCACTTTAAGCAGGGGATCTGAAGACAGACCAGAAGATAGACGTAAGGGCAGTGACAAGAGCTTCTTGACTGGGGTCTCCTCAGAAAATAGCTTGTGATGGTTTGCCAGACTGTGAAACGGAACATGGGGTTTCTCAACCCCCCCAAACAAGAAACGGCAAGGGTGTCCGCTTGGCTTCCCGTTTGAACACTGAAAGGGGTCCAAAGATCCAAAAATTGGCTTTGAACGCTCAACTGGGTTTGTCTCAAAATAGGGAAACACTCAAACTGGGTGGTTTTCCTTTCATTTCTCACGCACCAACCCCGACAAATACTCCGAACTTCCAATTGCTTGAGAACATGTCATTTATTTTTCCTGTTGGGTGTTCAAGGGCAAGGGCTATTACTATTGATTGTTTGGTTTATTTGTTCCAGGGGACGTATCCTCAAAGTTTGAGGCGAGCCTATGGTTGTGCTTGGCGCCTTTGGGCGCCAAGCCTCGGAGTGTGAGCTCTGGTTGCACCGCTCGTGGCGTTTTCCTCTCGAGCACTGAGAGAGGGGCGACAAGTCTCGGCGCGGAACCCGAGCGCTCGGCATGGGCGGGCCACCTGAAAATCGGACGCCTCCACGGTCCCTGCAGATCCCCTCACAAGACACACACATCGCTGTCTATCGCGAGCTCGATACTCGCCCGTTATCTGTCAAATGTGCATGAGGGATTGGGGCCAGAGCACCAAGTCCCAGGTCGCTTGGGGAGCACAATCAAACCCTGTGTTAGGGACCCATGTTCTCCAATGTTCTCAACGTGGACCGACCATGGGATTGGATATGGATGTTTTTGAGAGTACCCTTTGTGGGGCCCTGGGGTGGTTTTGAGTTGGGACGCTTTAGACACCACCCATTTGTGGGGAGACAACGCAAATCCCTTCTTTGGACACATCGCTGATGCTGCAATCAAATTGGAACTTTAGGGCCACACCTGACTGCTGACGCATGCGAACAAAATTGTCCAAGTCTCCCTGATCTAGACATCACCCCCCCTAACTTAAAGAACACCCGCTTGAAATGCGCCTAAGAGCGCTCAAACATGCAAATATGTGGAGCCTTGCTGTCTCCCTTGCGTTTCCAGCGAAAGCTGCATTGTTGGTCTGTTAGTGGCAGTCCCTCTTGCAAGTTTACCCGGCTTTACGTTTGCATCTTGTGGTTTGCTTGTGTGCAAGCAACACGCATAGAAGTTTACAAGGTATTGATAGATATTGGATATTTGTCAAAATATGGGGGGCCCCACAAAGTTGGTTTCTTGTTTGTTTCCCTTTAAAGCCACCCTCAAAAGGGGACACATCAATCACAATTGGTTTGCTTGATACTGTGGTTTTCTTTTGTTGGGGTGGTGCTGCTTGCTATGCTCACTAGGTTTGGTTGCAGGAGCACACAATGATGGCAAAGCATAGTTCGCCTGATGCGATGGTCTCCGCGTTCGTGAACAGTGGTGTTTTGGACAAGCTTGGTTGTGTTGATCCAGATTGAGAATCCAATCTCGTTGTTCCGGGAACCTTTGGGATAGTTGCATGTGCGACTATCGACCTGCACAGAAATTACGTGTGGACGCTCGTCCGCAGGAAGTGAAGGACTCCAATGCCCACTTGCAACTGACAACTTGAGGACATATGGCCCGCATTCACATCCTTCACGAGTCCACATCTTGCTTGTTAGCGAACAAATATCTAAAGGGGCACACCACAGGACCTCTTCAGGCGCATTGTTGGCCCCTATTGGCGTCCTTTTGCCTCTAAGTTTTCCCTGGTGGTTTTGAAGGAGTGTCATGGCTGGAATATGAAGACTCAATCCCTGAATTCAGATTCGGACTTTGTTCTTTTGGGGTCTCGACCATTTTAGTGGTAACAACAAATTTAGGCTTGTTTTGGCGAATCCATCGAGAAAGTGCGACTAGTTGTTTCATAGGTGTCCTTTTTAGGTTCGTTTGATTGGAAAGAGATGGCACTGATTTAGACTTGTTATTCCATTTACCAGGGCGATCTATTTTACCAAAGGGACACATATGAGTTGTTATGCTCTTTTTGCCCCCCATAGGGAAGCTTTGTGATTTTGTCAACGCCCATTTGCTGACATGAATAGTTTATACTTTCCCCGCTTCATCTATCGCTATTCGAAATACATATAGATATTCATTTTTTCCAGGGCACATATTATAGGTACAATCCATATAGATGCCCTCGTCCAATTATAGGTACAGGGTACGGATGAATCCATATTCTTTTTTTCCAGGGTACACCATCCCACATTGTGATTCAGTTCCATGCGATGCGGCTCCCAAGGCCCATATGGCGGAGGTGAGGAGAGGCACATGCTCGAAATGAAATGCGCATCCGAGGCTTCCTCAAGCAGGGTTTATTGTGCATAAGTATGTCATAATATATATATATATATGTATAAACATTTATGTATGTATATGTTATCATATTACTATGTTTTTTTTGTTTTTACCTTTATGCATATAGCATCCTGCAGTTGAGCGAATTAGCCTAAACCAAAGCGGTCCATCATTGACTACATGAATCTGGCAATACTCCAAGTCTCACTTATTGCAGGATGCAGCATGATGAAACGGGCGTATGCTGTACGTTCG